CAAACCCACAACCTGTATCCTATTAATAGCAAAGCTTAACTAAGCGCCACTACTGGATACCCATGATCGGGCTTGGGATTGGCTGCCTGGCTTTCCTGGGCTGCCAGCAATGGCAGGTAGGTAAGGGCAGGCAGTAGATTAGTATCAGTTCTAATTAGCATCCCAAGGAACAAGCGATAGACGTTGTACTTGGTGGGAGTTCCAGCTCCCAATCTACCGTGTTATACTTGCCTCAAGGTGCAACACCTCCCAGTCCCGTTCGACAACGCTTGGCACTCAAATATATTAAGTAGATGATACCAGAGGTACTCAGAACCCGCTGGCCCCGAGTGGGTAAGGTGTGGGGTGTGCGCAACTATCTGAATTGCATGTGGGGCACCAGGTTTAGTGCGTTTTTAAAACAAATGGTCAGCGGGTCATTTTTGAGAAGCCGAGGAGAAAATAGATATTATTCGTACAATTGTAGAAAGAAAGGAGCTCTGTATTAGAAGGCGTCAATATCTTTCTGTGAAACAAACCTGCTACACGCTTTATTTCATATTGCACTACAGTGTAATGTGAAAACGGAAAGTCAGAACTAATAATTTGCCTCAGAGAACGTTACGGCTATTCACGTTTTCTTACCCCTGGCGAAGTTGGAGCTAGCGCAGTGTTTAAGTGGCCTTCTATTTGAGCTTAATTAACTGACCTATAGAAGCCTTGATAAAGTTGGAGCTAGCGTCGCATCCAAGTCACTGGAATGTGCATAAGAGGGAAGACAAAGAACCGTGGAGGAGGAGCTCGATGAAGATCTTGCCCAACTGCTTGTGTCGACAAGAGCACTGCCACTGGGAGCAGCAGACGGTGAATGGCGAATTACAAGTTGTCTGTAAACGTCGTTTGTGTTGCTTGTACAAGCACCGTTTTACCTGAAAAGGGGTATCCAAAAACACGTAGTGTAGTACCCAAGATTTTTCCGTGTTGCCACGTACGTGTATTCCGCACCCGTCGAACGGTAAAAGTGAGCTCTCATACCATTATCTAATTGTAAAGCAAAACTCGAGACGTCAAAGCATAGTGCACGTTCACAGCAGGCCTTGGTGATCGTGGAAACATGCTAGTGGGTGCGCGCATGCCCTTAATGTATCGCGTGTACTTCACAAGACATATTACATGTACATTGATACGGAATTTTACGCCGCTCTTTTGCGAAACGGTGTCCCTAGAGCTGTTCCCTTGGTTCAATTGCACGACGTTATCGACCTCTACGTTAATTTTCCTACGTGCTTTCATTAATACAAGTGTGCAAATTTCACAGTGCAGATACCGTGCCGGACTCGCAATTTGTGGTTTGAACTCTGATGAAAAGAAGTAAAACGACGAAAGTTCATATTATTGAAGACACATATATTCAAAGCCTCCTTCGCCTCACTAACGGGCAATGATTGTCCTTAGTAGCCGCTGGCATCGAAGTGGTCGGCCGTCATGAGCTTAGCCCAGGCCGAGGCGAAGACCTGCTTGAAGGCAGCCTCATCCCCAGCAAACTTATCAACGTACGTCTTCAGCTCCGGCGCATCCAACAGCGCTAGGTCCGTGGCCAGCATGTAAATGTCTTTGCCTTCGGCTTGGTACTCGTCGTCAGTCACCGCGGTCCACTGCTCGTTCAGCAGCAGCTTGAAGTACTCATTGGACAGAGGGGCCGCCTCAGCGCAGTACGAGCCACTGTAGCCCAAAGTTTTCTGCTGCTCGGCGCTGCGGGGACGGCCAGCTAGAGCCACAGCCTCCTCCTCCGACACGCCCATAATCTTGATACTGTCGCGCACAGCAATCAGCGCCGAGGTGTAGTAGTCACGCGGGGCATACATCTCAGAGCCATCGCCGCTCTCAGCGTCCGTGCGGCCACCGAGGAAGTCAACCTTCTCACTACCAGCGTCCTCAAGCGCCACTTGGCCCGCCAGCACGATGAGATCAGCAGTCGATAGCGTCGGGTAGTTGTCCTTCACGGGCTCCAGCGCAGCGATGATTGCGTCCACGCCCTTGTTCACAGCCCAGTCTTTCTCGGGCGAAAGGCGGATCGTGGCCCCATTGCAGCCGCCCGAGTAGTCCGTGACGCGGAAAGTCGACGCGCACTGCCAGGCCGCGTGCACGAACAGCGCCCCGTTGTAGGGCGTGCCATCGTCGGTTGAATCGCTCGTCAGGCCATCGACCGACGTCTTGAGCAACGCACTGATGTCCGCGCGCACAGCTTCGAAGTCCGGCAGCGTGTCTGTCGGCGGGAACGGGTTCTGGAATGGCTGGGCAGGAGGAATGTCGTTGCCGCGGCAACGCGTGACCGGGCCCATGTCATTCGTAGTCAACTTGTACCAGGCGTGCGAGAAGGCCTCGTCCAGAGCGGCCTGGTCGGCCGCGAACTCAAGCGAGATGTTGTGGTAGCTCTCGTCGTGCAGCAGAGCGATGTCGGCTGTCAACATACGCACAGGCGGCGTAGTGTCGGGCACGGGTCGCCACTGCACGTGGCCACCCGGGCCGTCATACTTCTCCCACTCGTAAGTGGTGAGACCGGTGAAGTATCCGTTGCTCCACTGCGTGGGCGTAGCCGTCCAGGAACCTTCAAAGCCGCTCGTGAACGTGTTGTTGCCCATTCCCTTCAACGGGCCGTCGCCACAAGTTCCGGGCCACGGGTTCTCGGGGTCTTCGAGTGGTGAAGGACCAGCACCGGTCGTACAGGCTCCGTGTGTCTTGCCGAATGCGTGGCCACCGCCGATCAGAGCCACCGTTTCGCGGTCGTCCATGCCCATGCGGGTGAACGTACGGCGAACGTCAGCAACCGATCCAACAGGGTCCGGTACGCCCATCGGACCCTCGGGATTCACGTAGATCAGCCCCAAGGTGGTAGGTCCCAGCGGGGCCTTGCAGTTTCCGTCTTCTTCACACGGGGCCACCTCCTGCTGTTCAGGCGTTGGGCCCAATTGCAGGCTACTGGTTCCGTCGACATCGTCACGGCGGCCACCGCAGAAGCCGAGCACGGGTCCACCCATGCTCTCAATGGCCACATTACCAGACAGCACGATGAGGTCGCCCCACGACAGAGCGGCACCATACTTCCTCTTGATGGGCTTGAGCAGCCGCAGAGCCTTGTCCAGGTTGGTGTTGTCGGCCCAGCTGTGCTCCGGGTTGAAGCGGATGCGGCCGCCGTCACAGCCTCCGCGGCCGTCAGCGCGACGGTAGGAGCCATTGCAGTGCCACGCGAGACGGATGAAGAGGCCGCCGTAGTGGCCGAAGTCGGCCGGCCAGAAGCCTTGGGACATCTGCATCAAGATCGCCAGGTCCTTCTTGACCAGGTCGTAGTCGATGACGTCGCAGCTCGAGGCGTCGTACAGCTCGCTGGAGATCTGGCGGTCCTGCTGCTTCACAGACGCGACCTTGTCGTAGCCGAACGGGCAGCTCCCAGCAGCAGCGGATTCCGATAGACTGGCCAAAGCGGCGACGAAGACAGCGAGACGGATGTTCATTTAGTTGGGAGAGGGACGTGGACTGGAGATGGGGACTTGGGCGCTTGGGGGAAGATTGACTTGTGAGCAAGACCACCGGAGTTCGGTGGTCCAGGATTTCGTTCGTCCCTCTTGAACAGGCGACTCGAATGGCAGCGGATCCTTTATAAGATCCCACAACCGTCAAAATCATAGTACCCATCGGACTCAGGACCCAGGAAAGACTTCTGGACACTTGGCCGCCCCTCTGGTGTATTTCGTTCGATTCCAACGTCAGTAATAGAGATGGAAATCATGTTTATCGTGCCAGGGCAACGGCAACATGGCGCTGTGTACTTCGTCCGAGGGAAGAATCAGTTTGACTAAAAAGCCTACTGGATCCGATTGACTAACATCATCATTATAGCTGCACTGATCATGTAGCCATGTTTCAAATAGCCAATCACATGCGTTGGCGAAAAGAGCACGTTGCCCTTTCAAGGTCAGCACCGCCCCACGCGCGTATCAGCCCCCTGGGGGACGGCTGCAAGAAGATCAGTAGTCTGCTAGCAAAGGCCGACGATAACGCGGGGGGGTATTCCTTTGGAGGGGTGGCGGACACTCTGCCGGCAGTTCCTGGCCTCTATGTGGAAGGCCTGGGGGACGTTTCCGTCCCGCTGTGTCCTGAACAGGCAGACAAACTTATTGCAATCTGCGACAAGTCTCCATTCGGGAGGAAGCTGGATACTATGATGGACGAAAGCGTCCGCAAGAGCTGGCAGCTTGCGCCCGACCAGGTGGACGTCAAGAACCCGCTGTGGCACTGTGGAATGGACAAGTTGAGCGAGACGGTGGCCAGTAGACTTGGCTACAAAGACGTACCGCTGCAGTGCAAACTATACAAGTTGCTGGCGTACGGGGAAGGAGGACACTTTGTGAAGCACCAGGACACTGAGAAGGAAGACGGCATGATCGCCACGATGGTGGTGCAGCTGCCGAGTCTGCATGAAGGAGGAGACCTGCTGGTATATCGAGGTGGAGAGATGAAGCACCGTCACGATTTCGGCAAGAAGGACGGTACGGCGCCGTACTTGCCGCACTATGCAGTGCACTACACTGACGCGGAGCACGCGCTGAAAGAGGTGACGAAGGGGTACAGACTGGTGTTGATTTACTCCATTTGCTTGCCGCCGACGATGCGTCACTTGATGCGCGATCATGATGAGGGTTTGAGCGACAAGGTGGGTGCTGCTATCAATACTATGGGAGATGATGAGAAGTCCTTTGCGCTGCTGCTGGCCCAGGAATACACCGGCAAGAGTATTGAAGAGTTGGGGTCCGGAGCACTGAAAAGTGTCGATCGTTCAAGGTTCCAGACGCTGGAGGAAGCGAACTGCGTTGCCGCTCCTGGTAAGAAGCTGCAGTTCTTCCTTGCCCAGCTCAAGCACGACATCAGCTACTGGGACGATGGCGGGTCGTGGGTGGAAGGCAGCCGCAACGAGAAGGTCACTTGGCATATCGTGACTGGGCAGAAGCTTGGCCACACCACCAAAACTACGAAGCTCAAGCTGAATTTGCTGAATCCCAGTCAGGAAACGCTTTCGGAGCAGTGGGCCCTTCATGGAAACAGTACGTTTGAGGGGTATCTCGGAAACGAAGGCGCGACGAAGGACACGACGTATTCCCGGTACGCGATTGTGGCTTGGCCCGCAGTTCACGGCGTGGAAAACGCGTTCAAGTTCATCAATGTGAATGCTGCGGCGGAGGCTCTGGAATGCCAGCGGCCTGTTGACGCCGCGACAGTTCTCGAGTTCATGGATGATGTGAAGGCGAAGCTGGCGCAGAAATAAAAATCGTACTCGTGGTCTGAAACCAAGACCGTATCGACTGCGTTTTGCCGTACGCTGTGCAGCTTATTGGTCGAGGTCGGGGATGCATCGTTGGTGAACCTGTTCCTCAAAACCTTTGTGAAGTCGGTGGACGACTTCAAGAAGAATGATGAACTTGCTGCCCCCTTCACTGTGCTTGCCCGTAATTTCGACTGGAACGATATCGGCCAGGTGCTACTTGACTCGTTGAGCAAGACGGACGACGATGTTGAATTCATTGGTGATTCGGATGACGAAGAGGAAGCTGAAGAGACCGATGATTCACGCATGGCGATAGCGCTGGAGATTGTTGATGGTCTGGGTGCTGGAGCTGCTCAGCAAGCGTTACTGAAGATAGCGGTGGAGAAGGTGTCGCGCCTTCGTAAAGAGGACTTATGCTCGTCTAAGGCGCTTCCTCTCCTCTGGAAGTGGGTCATTCAATGCGGTGACCAGACGATGCTCGACACGGTCGCATCCAAGTTCAAGCAAACGCCGCCGAGCCTCCTCCAGCCCGTTATCGAGTCGTTCTCGCAGCATCTCGGTACTCTCCCTGCTTCGGACGACAGATTTGTGGCGCTTTCTGCGATTGCTAACAAGAGAATCGAATGGTTGAATATCCAGCTCCAAGCGTTGGGTAAACCGTTCTCTTGGGAGATGCCGGACGCTTCCTTCCCCGACAACGCGAGAATTCAAGCATTTTTACGAGGCCCTGAGAGCTCAATGGATACCAACGGAGTTCGTCACTTCAACGGAGTTGGCCATGCCCGCAACTACGCCGAAACGTGGATGCGTGAGAAGCAGGTGAACGCTTCGTTCACCTTGGAAGCTGAAGGCCGAGGCGGAAGTGCGTATGTGGTCATTACGAAGACTCGAGCGTGGCTGTCTGAGCACCAAAAGGAACTGTTGAAGCACAAGACGGAGCTGGCCCTGCTTTCGGCAAGGTTTGGAGCTGCCGAAGGTGCTGCAAGCGGTGGTGCCAGAAAACGAGCACGACACGAGTAAACACCGTGGACAGTCGACACATCTGCAGGTATTGGAGATCGGCTTTTCCGTACTAGTCCACTGATGCATTTTCACGAGTTATTTGACACATCAAGCGTTTGCTTTAGTTTCGCGATGTTGTTTCCGCGTGTGCCCGCAATTTTCACGCGAGTGCTCTGTTCAGGTAAATTGCAGGTTTTCCGTCAATGGCTGCTTTTTTAGGATAGATACTTTGACGGATGCGGGTTCATCAAGAGTGCCACGAATCCCGATCTAATGCGTCGTTGCGCCTCCGCCGCTTGCTTGTCGCGCAGCAATGGATTGATACTCATGCTCCCCATAGTTTGTTAAGGGAAGCTATTAAATCATACTGTACATGAATCAATTGCAGCCCTATCTTTTACCTGCATTCTACTGCTGAGTGTCCTTGAGCCACTCGAATTCGAGAGTAAAATCAGCACCTACAGTATAAGCCATCCGAATATCCGGTTAGAATATACTACGTAGTTGACGCACTGCCCAACACTCACCGAAGTGGTAGAGCTCGTACTGCAGCAGGAGCAGAAGGGCAACGAAGAGATGCACCTGCACAGGACAAAGCTGCCTCTCGAGTACAAACGCGAGCTGGTACAGCGCAGAGAAGGAAAACCTGGTCTGCGAGAAGACGTTAAAGACGACGAATATGACGACTTCCAGTAGCCCAAACACCACAAGGTTTGAGAAAGCAGAGCCTCCCCATTGCGTATCGCTCTCCGGGTAATATTGAGCATTTGGCAGGTGCACGAGCGTGAACTTGTAAACTGCAAACACGAGCGGAACGACGCAGTCCACGTACTTCACCAACGCCCAGTACTCGCAATGAAACAACAGTTGCAGACCTTGCAGTGTTAGCATCTTTGATCGCTCTGGACGCCTACTTCCCTGTATATCTTTGGGAATAGCTGAAGGTTCGGCGCCTTCTAGAGCTGGGTCAGGCGCAGGGGCAATCGCAATGCGTTGGCTGGCTGGTTGGAGATACCGGTGATGCGGTTGCTGTAGCCTAATCATTGTTGAGGATGTCGATGAGTCTGTCTGTCCGTAAACACCCGACTCTTCTAGCAAGCGGAGTAGGTTTGCTTGCGCTTGCGTTATCGGGTGAGGCAGGCACGACCACTCGTGCACGTTGTAGCGAGTTGGCTTCATAATTCGTCGGGTCCTGGACGACTGCAGTCATCGTCGTGAGAAGCTCACTGTAAGTGTCCAACATGCTAATTCGGCGGCTGCTTTTGGTGCGGAGACGGATTTCAGAGGCGCGTCGGTCTTGCAGTGAGCCCATCAGGAGCTGGGCATTCGCGTGAATTTCTCGAAATTCCAGGAGCGACTGCCCCACGTCAGCCACGATGAACAGACCCGATAGATAGAGCGAACCGGACGTGTACATGCACACAGAGACGAAAAGTGTGCCAAAGAAGTCGACCGAGAAGGCGACGAACTCAGGAATACGAAGAGCGTACCACAAACTTCTTTGCTGCGAACTTCCAAAATGGTAAGACGATGACCACGACGCTCCGATACGACGACGGCACAAAGCTGTAGAGCACTTTGTAGATTGGGTACACACCGATCAACGTCATGTGAGCGAAGAAAAATCGGTTGAATCGGTCGCCCATTACCTTAAACGGTGAGCCATTTGCAAACAATGCGGGTCCCAGCACAATTCGTATCATTAATGGTGTGTAAATTCCAACGGGGACGGCTCCGAATTGCATCATGAAGGGGACCGGAAAGCCAATACAACTCGCTGCGAGAATGCACGTCCCCACATACGCAGCACCTACCAGCAGCGCCACAATGACCCGTTTGGCGAAAGTGAAATTGACACCGGGAACGAATGTGGGTGTTTGCCAGTTTCCACCAACACCGAGGACTATCTCTATCAAGAGTAGCCGCAGCCAGAAGACCCAATTGGCGGCCCATCCTTCCGATGGCGGCCTTAGTGGCAAAGACTCGAGGAATATAGCAACAATCAAAGCTGGTAATGGGGTGCAGAAGCACACCAACACCACTCGAAGTGGAGACGTGGTTTTGCAGTACCATTTCTCCTCGAGGCGCCTCCACGATGAAGTCCGAGCCCGCGCTGTGGTTCGATCCATTTTTCCGCGTGACTTTGATATCGCGTGGGCTTACGTTGCTAAAAGGTAAAATGGGCGGGTAACGAGACTGTGAGGAACACATTTGGATTCCTATCCTTACGTTTCTTAGACCAGGCTAGGGGATAGGCTGGTTAGTCCTATATGGATAACCTTATTTCCAGTAAGGAAACTAACCAGTAGATAGATAGTAAATTATAGTTAGGACCCGAGGACGAGGCCACGAGTCTGAGACAGTAGGCCGAGCTTACTTTCGGTTCGACGGCTGCTTCTCGGAATCCTTGGCCCACTGGTGGTAAACTGACTCGGGCATCTGCAGCACTGCATCGCCAGACACAGCCACGGCGGTTCGCTCTAATTCAATACCCGCCTCACCATGTGGGCATGAACCAAACGCTCTATCGTGAGCAGCCCTACCGTGGGCACGAAATAATCGAGCGAAAAAATTCCCCCTCTGATTGAGTTGCTGTTTGGAAATCATAAGAATAGTGTTTTGAATATCGTTAAAACTGAGCTGTGACAAGGATCAATGCATGTAACAAGGATAAAGAATACTTATACTTACCCCAACCAAATTTGTTTACATGCTAGGAAATAGGATAATGTTGCTCTTTGCTTATTTGTTCTCCCGAAGTTCAACGCTGGTTATGAACCATCAATCACGTCAGTAAAAATTCGACGAAAGCAAACGCTGCCCCGATGGCTTTCAAGCAGGATTTCAAGGATGGTAAATGGCCGTTTGGTGCAAAAGGCAAGCCGGACGACGTTCCAGTTCCCATAGGAGCTGCCTGTGTCAAGATGAGTAAAACTCTCGAGAACGCAGGCGAGTACTCTTTCGGTGGTCGAGCTGAGACTCTCCCACCTGTACCCGGCATTTTTGTCAACGAAATTGGCAGTATTCCACTGCCGCTGGACGAATCACAAGCCCAGAAGTTGATCACAAAATGTGAGAAGTCTCCGTTTGGTCACGGGATGAACACGAAGATGGACGAGAGCGTTCGCAAAAGCTGGCAACTCGCACCAGATCAAGTCGAGATCAAGAACCCACTTTGGCGGACTGGGATTGACGATTTGACTGAGATCATTGCCAGTCGACTAGGGTACAAGGGAGTGCCGCTCCAGTGTGTGCTCCATAAGCTGTTGGTGTATGGAGAAGGCAGGCATTTCGTCAAGCGTCAAGACACGGAGAAGGAGAACGGCATGATCGCCATGCTTGTGGTCCAGCCGCCCAGCGCGCACGAAGGAGGTGACCTGGTCGCGTATCGAAACGGAGAGATCGAGCATCGCCATGATTTGGGGAAGAGCAATGGCTCCGCCCCGTACTTCTGTCACTACGCAGTGCACTATGCGGATGCGGAGCACGCGTTGGAGAACGTGTCGAAGGGGTATCGACTCGCATTGTTCTACTCCATTTCCTTGCCGGTGTCAATGCGGCATCTGAAGCGGGATCCGAGCCAGACAAGTAATGATCTATCTGATTTGATCAACGCTATTGCTGAAGAAGACGGATCGTTTGCGCTGTTGCTATCACACGAATATACAAAGAAGAGCATTGCGGATTTGGGTAGTGGAGCCCTTAAGGGAATTGATCGTGCGAGATTCCGGGAGCTTGAAGAAGCCAACCAAGTTGTGGCTGATGACAAGAAACTTCGGTTTTTCATTGCAAAGCTTGTTGTCAAGGTAGACAACACGCTTGGTGCGGGCGGTTGGCGACTTTACAACTATGAGGAATCTTTGCACTGGTACACTGCAAGCGGAGATGACCTCGGACACTGGAAGCCGCTGAATGAAAAGCTTAATTTTCTCAAACCAACTCTGGAAGGCCTATGGCAACAGTGAAGACGTGTATACGGGTAACGAGGGGCCGATCAAGAGTACCAAATACTCTTGATTCGCAATCATTGCATGGCCAGCCAGTCGTCACTTGGAAACTCTCCTGAATCTCGTGTCCGCAGAGATCGCTGTCGAGGAGCTGCTTTCTCGCAGACCAGTTGATGCTGCAACACTTCGAAGTTTCTTGACGCAGACGGTAGCACTTCCGTACGATTTTCCAGATCGTTTTGTGAGCTTCTGTTGGATGCTCTTGACGTGGACTTGGCTAAACGGTTCTTCAAAGAATGTTGCCTGTACTTCGGAGATTTGGATGGAAACGAATCTATAGTTCCAGTGATGATCAAAGTTGCCAATTGGTTTGCCTGGAGTGACGTTGGCGAAGAACTACTTGACGTGCTAGGTAACGGAACCGACTTGTGCTACGTAACACCCGGGTAGTCCGGGATGGAGCTGCTCCTACAAGTGGCTGATGCGGTGGAAGACGCAGGAGCTCGAAAGAACCTCCTTGAAATGGCTGTTGACACAGATTGGAACTTGGGGAGTATTCAAACGGTTGAGCTGTTTTGGAAACATATTATTCTCCCTGGCGATACTGGTGTCTTCGAGTCGATGGCCGAGAAGATTATGAAGCAACAGCCAAGTGAGTTGAGTCCGTTCGACCAAGTATTCTCGAAGTATGTTGACAATCGTGATCAAACGGGTAAGTTCAACATGCTGGAAGCGATTGCAACTAAGCGAATGGGGTGGCTGAAAGGAGAAATCAAGAAGCTTGACAAGGTTGATAAGACTTTCTCTTGGGAAATGCCATTTGCAGATGAACCCGAGAAGCCAGAAATTGAGGCATTTCTACGAGGACCAGAAGAGTCGATGACTACGGTGGGCAAGAAGAAGTTTACTGATTTCCATGACGCACAGTCATTTGCTACTTTGTACAAGCGTTCTTTCAAACGCGGGGAACCACTTGCGTGTCTTGGAGATCTTTACAAATGGTTTCTCGCCGCCTTTCACAGCTTCCATGGTGAATGATGTCTCATACGTATCGATGTCAGTCAAACGAAG